CTTACCGGGCAGGGAGCCCCGGTGCGGCGCAGTGCTGGGTGCTGTGGGATCCCGGGCAGGGATCCGTGGGTGCGTGGAGCAGAGCCTGCACCCTCCTCCGTCCCCCTCCCCGTCCCCAGCATGGACACCGACCTGTACGACGAGTTTGGGAACTACATCGGGCCGGAGCTGGACTCGGACGATGACGACGACGAGCTGGGCAGAGAGTCTAAAGATCTGGATGAGGTGAGCGGTGGGGACGGGTGGAGGGGCAGTGGCTCACAGGAGCCCGGCGTGGGCCTCATCCTGCCCCATAACCCCCGCAGGAGCAGGGGATGAGCGCCATGCTCCTCACAAATTGCCGGTAATTCCTTTTCTGTGCCGGGCTCTGGTTGTGTGGTGAGACTTGGTTCAGTGGTGGAATTTGGCTCCTGAGGATCAGAGCGGGTTTGGTTTTTAAAGGATTCAGCGAAAGCTGCTCTCCCGTTCCTGCGATAAAGGGAAAGACAAAGTTTCTGCTTGAATCGCGGTTAGAAGTGGAGCTGCTGTAGCTCAAGCTGTATTTGGTATTTTTATTTGTGTGCGATCAAACGGAGGATCCGTATCCATTCAGTGAGGTCTTCAGGCCTTTAGTGACATGCGCTAATGCTACAGCAGCATTGCGAGGAGCTCAGCTCCTGGGTGGTGCAGGCAGAGCAGGACTGCCCAGGCGCTAGAGGAGAGCGACGAGGGCAGAGAGGACGGCAGAGGCTGCTGTGACATGAGGGCAAAGCGTCGGAGGACGCGGGGAGCCCCTTCTAGTCTCCCGTTCCTGCAGTTCGACTGAAAGTGGTGTCTGTGTGTAATGGGGGTTGTGTTGTGCACGAGCGTGGTTCTGTTGTGTATGCGAGCGAGAGGCGGGAGTCGCTGCCTGTGCAGGTGTCTCTTCAAGTCTGCTCTTCATTTTCACCTCTGCAAGTCTTCTTGCTCTTCATTTTCACCTCGACAAGCTGCTCTGCAGCTGGATGCAGGGTGCCGGGGCTGCGTTGGTGGTTCCCTGGCTAGGTTTGTAGCTCTCTTTCAGTGTACGACGCCAAGCCTGTACCTTCTGGCGTGACTGGTGATTGCGAAGCACTTTGGTGTCAGCAGCAGCTAAGTGTGAGCGTTGGTTGCAGCTCGAGGATGATGACGATGATGATGATATGGGAGACCATGATGAGGACCACCCTGGGATGGAGGTGGTGCTGCATGAGGATAAGAAATACTATCCCACCGCCGAGGAGGTCTACGGGCCTGAAGTAGAGACGATAGTACAAGAGGAAGACACGCAGCCTCTCACTGGTAAGCGGTGAGGAAGCAGCGAGTTGGGTATGGTGGGAGGAGAAGACTCTTAATGGATCCTTGGAAAAGGGAAAATAATGTTCCCTTCCATTCTCCCCATCGGTTTTAATGCCCCTTAGAATTCCCTCTCAGCCCCAGGAACGTGTAGACTCTTGTTTGTCTGGTGGTGCCCAGATTTTGGCGCTCTGGATTATTATAAATGCCAAACAAACTATCTTGTGAAGAGCAGATATTGTCAGGCACTGGAGAGATACTTAAGGAGAAATAAAATTGCATTTAAATCATCTCATTTGATCCTTCTATAATAGAATAGTTTGGTTGGAAGGGACCTATGACGATCATCTAGTCCAACTGCTTTTATAACAGCTACAAGAATCTGTCAGCTTAAAAAACATATTTTTGTCTGCAAAAGTCCCTGTTCCCTCGGGCTGTTTCTGAGCCTGCTGGGTTCAGGGTCTCTAGTAACAGTGTTTTATTGTTCTTTCTCTTGTTTTCAGAGCCTATTATTAAACCTGTGAAAACCAAAAAATTCTCTCTGATGGAACAGACGTTACCGGTCACTGTCTATGAGATGGAGTAAGTAAAATGTAGGGCTTTTAAGCGTGTACGTTGGATCTAACCGTCTGTGCTGTGATTTCCTCGCTCTTTGTTGTTTGGAGGCAAAGGTGGGGAGGCAGAGTGGTGTGTACTCTGTGGAGGCGGCAGATTTCGGGGGGCATTGGCTTTTTTTTCTTACTGACACCAGCAACAGCACGGAGTGCAGCCGTTTCCCAGATTTTGAACCAAAAACAAGAGGAAGAAAGTACAAGACTAATGATTTTACAGATATTTTCCCTCCACAGCATGCAGCACAGTGCGTAGTTTTCTGAAATAGAATGTAAATCTTACCTCCACAGCCGATAAAAAGCTTGGTAATTGGAAACCCTTGCGGTGCAGATTTACTGAAGGCAACTTTTCTTGACTGGCTCAAGAAATATTTATACCTCGGTGTGTGGCATACCTCATACTGGGACATTTTGGGTTGATCCCAGTGACCGTTGGCTTACTGCTGTCTCAAATTAATTCCCATCTATCCTGGAGGAGTTTCCAAGGGGATTATTTAGGTGGCTGGTTGTATGCAAAGTAGTGTGTTGGTCAGCGTAACGTCCCGCTTCTGCGCTTGATGGTGTCTGGTTGTACCCTGCCAAGCAGCCCCTGGAACACCAGGGTTGGGAGAAAACCTCCTGGGAAAAAATCCAAACAAATTTAAAATTTGAGATATATTATCTCATGCGACTCTGATAAGGAATAAACCCAGTTGTTTACTTTCTCTATAAAAATATGTTATCTTAGCATCAACGTCTATGTTTTGTCAATGGGTGGAGGGGCTCCACGTCCTCACGTGGATAGTGCTTCTGTATGTTGTCTTCTATTTGAGGATGAACAGATTGAGCTGCGTGAGTGTCTTGTTAGGCTCATCTTTCCATACGCCACTTCATGGCTAGTCGGAGCTTTTTCCAAGTTTTAATAATCGTCTTCAAGCGTAGATCCCAGACCCAGCTGCAGGCTGAGTAGCAGTTCCCTGTGTGCCAGACAGACCCCGGTGTGAGCAGTCCCTCTGCGTAGCATCGAGGATCCTGTTATTTTCCAGCAACAAAATTTCACCGGAGTTTGTATTCAGTCAGTTGGTTACTTGGATGCCCAGGACCTTTTTGGAACGGCTGCTTCTCGGGGCTGTCCCCTGCCGCATTCGTTGCTCGGAGAGATTTTTGATATAGCCAGATACAAACCAAAGAGCCGTCTGGGTCTTATTTTTCTTTGTTCTTAGTCAATGACCTGTACTCTTCATTATCTACCGCTTTCCTGATCCCTGTGTCCTCTGCTCATTCCATCCATAATGAATTCCTCTTCATCCTGTTTGTTGATATAAATGGTCAAGATGGGGCCTGGAGAAATTCCCTGTGAGACTTAACCAGAAACCTGCAAGCTCGGAATTGATTTCCCATTTAGCCTTATTTTAAGTCCAATAAGCAAGCTTTAAATCAGTATTATTATTGATTTTTGTATTTTTTAGCTCTTAATCAAAATGTTGTACGTTAAGATCTCTACTGCATCAGTGAAAATTAAAGTATTGTTAAAAAGGAGATTATTTGATAGCACTTATTTTCCGCAGACCCATAGCAATGGATACTTCTTTTACAGTCTCCCGTTATTTTTTAGAGGAGTTGGTAATTTAGCATCTCAATTATATTTTGGCTAGGGTCCGTGCGGAGGTGACTGGCCCATAAGTTCAATTGCTTTTTCTAAAAAGATTTAAATTCCATTACTGTTTCCTTGAGTCCCTGGGAACATCACTGTTTTAAGACCTGAAAATCGGAATTAATGGTCTGCGGAGCCCCGTGGCTACCTTTTAAAACTGCGTGGGGTGCTTGTTATCCAGCTCTGAGATTTATTTGACTGCCTGCCACTATTTGAGTGGAAGTATTTCATCATCCGAGTACATGGATGTGACTTTTGCTCTAATACTGACTAGAAGAGAAGAAAAATACTCAATAATATTCCATCGCTGGCAGTTTTACCAGCTCCGTATCCTCCCACCCACTGCCATCTGTCTAGGACTCCAACTCTCTTGTCCTCCCCATCTGGAAAGTGGGATTCTTCCTCCGCAGGGCATTGGCAGAATGAAAGTTTGGAAAGGATTCAGGGGGCACCTTGCATAGAAAGTGTAGCTGAAACGGCACCTACTTTTCTTAGACACGACAGAAGCCTCCAACAGTCTTTTGTGTTTTGTTCCTCCAGTTTCCTGGCAGATCTGATGGACAACTCGGAGCTAATTCGAAATGTGACTCTGTGTGGGCACCTTCACCACGGCAAGGTAGTGTGAATATCCAGCGTGCATCGGGTAGTAGTAATTGTCTCTTTGTTGCTTGCTTTTACCCTTGCTCTCGATCCCTCGATCTCTGCAGCAGCAGTTGCTTTCTGCTCCTCTTGCTAATGCAGTTATCTGTAGGTTTTCTTTCAGCCGCGTGGGGATAATAACGTACCCAACTTTCTCCTTCTACTGGAGGGATGGGGTTGGACTTGTATTTATCTGTCTGAACACAGTCACCTCCATTCTCTTGTGGTCTGATGTTTTTCAGACTTGTTTTGTTGACTGCCTGATAGAACAGACACACCCAGAAATCCGGAAGCGCTACGACCAGGATGTAAGTGAGCTTTGGGTGTATTCCTGCCCTGGGGAACACGGGTTGGCTTTTACACTCAGAGGGAGCATGACTGTACGTGGGGAAAATGTGGTTTAGTATTAGAATGTCGGGTTGGAAAGCCAGAGCTCAGTCCTAGTTCTGTCTCTGTCACTTACTTGACATCTTAACCGTGTGTAAAGAGTTGTTGTGTCCTGTTTCAAACTTGATATTTGATATCAAAACGTGATATTCTGACTTTTGTCTTTGCAGCTTTGCTACACTGATATATTGTTCACAGAGCAAGAGGTGAGTGAGTCTTGGAGAACAGGCAGGGATTTTTATCCAGTTGTCTCATGCTTTACTCACAGTTTCTTGCTGTAGGCAGTTTCCTCTTCCATTTTACCATCTTTTGGTGCCTTCCACGTTTTGATTATTTTCTTTATCAATAAAATGATCTGCTCCTCTTGTTTGCCTCAGTAAGATCCCTGGTCCAACTTTCTTCCTTTTCCTGCTGCCTGTATGATTTTATTTACCTGAGATGATAACCTGTGCAATGTTGAAAATCTATAGCAGAGTTATCCCAGCATATGGAAACTCCTGTTTTCTTTGAAAGAGGTGGAAGGGGTTCGTAGCAGTGGTGGATGAGGAGAGAAACTACAATTTCAACCATCTTTTGGTGCCTTCCACGTTTTGATTATTTTCTTTATCAATAAAATGATCTGCTCCTCTTGTTTGCCTCAGTAAGATCCCTGGTCCAACTTTCTTCCTTTTCCTGCTGCCTGTATGATTTTATTTACCTGAGATGATAACCTGTGCAATGTTGAAAATCTATAGCAGAGTTATCCCAGCATATGGAAACTCCTGTTTTCTTTGAGAGAAAGAGGTGGAAGGGGTTCATAGCAGTGGTGGATGAGGAGAGAAACTGCAATTTCAAAAGAAACATATTTCTCCTTGGTTTCCTTTGATGGGACGTCTTAGCTGGGTGCTCTGACTCCAAGTGGTTGGGTGTTAATGGGAATCTTATTTTGTTAGTCGCTAAATATTGTCGTGACCAGGACAATCCTGTGAAGCATTTCTTTCTCTTCATCTTAGTGCTCTACTTTATGTGCATCAAATCTTGCGCTTTGAGGTGTAACTTGATAGCAGCAGAAGGGCAGAAGCATGGAAAAACATGCGTCTTCTGTCTCTGGTGTTGCATATTATACTTGTCAGCTGAAACGCGGCATGGATTGTGCTGTGGTGACTCACCAGTCGGAGCCAGTATGGGTGGAGGAGCTGGGCTGGATACTGGAGCAACCTGAGTTTGTAAATCCCTGGGAGTAACAGGATGTCCTGGAGGGCTGTTTCCTTCATCCCATCTTTCTGATTTTTCTTTGGTCATCTTTTACATCTTTGCCTGGTGATGTTTTTTGGGGTTTGGTTGGTTTTTTTTTTTATTTCTTTTAACTGATAATCCTGGTTTCCTGCCTTTCAGAGGGGAGTAGGGATCAAGAGCACACCAGTGACGATTGTTCTGCCAGACACCAAAGGAAAATCTTTTCTCTTCAACATCATCGACACACCAGGTGATTGTGTAATCCTGAAAATTCTGGTTTGGGATGCGTTTAGCTGAGGGTGGCTTGATGTGTGGAGCAGAAACGTGACCATGTGAACCAAGGTTTCTCTCATTAGTAAACTTCTGGTCCTCTGGGTAGTGCTATTGACAGGAGTAGAGCGGCAAAATCATGTTCAGTGGTGGGTAACAAGGGCCTTCAAAGAGCTTTTGTCTTGGATTGTGGTGGGATTGTGTAGCAAGGGCTGTCAGAAAAACAAAGAAAGAATCTATACCCTGAAACCTCGCTGATTCATCTGGAAACGTCACTTGGGTGCAGTGAAACCCTGGGAAGTTCTCTTTCGCAGACGGAAACCCATGTTTTGTTTTGTGTTTTTTGTAGATAATTCCAGCCTAGTCCTGAGCCTTTAGCTAAATTCATTCTGCTGAAATCACTTCCAGCAGTAATGACTGTGCTGCTGGCTTTTATTTAGGCTTGTGTTTCTGATTAACAGGCCTAATTGAGGGCTAATGGGGCTGAAAATGTGTTCCACTCAAGTATATGAGAAGCACATGTAGAATTGGATTTTCCAGGTATCACGCACAATGGGGACCGTGTTTTTCCCAAATGCTGTTGCCCAACCAAGTTCCCTCGAGCCTCTGACAAGCTCCTGTGGGGGAAACATAATCATGGATCAACTTGTTGTAAGAAACCAAGGCCAAACTTTAGGAACGAGGGTCTTGGGACACATCTGTTGAGTTACAGCTCAAGATGAGGGAGGTTAGAGCGCAGGAGGAGACTGGAGGGAGAGGCATCTGTTGTTCTTTGGTGAGAAGTAATCTTCCTCCTTTTCCTGAAGTACTTGCACAGAGCTGTGAGAAAAACAGTAACAAATGTGACGAAAAGTGCCTGTTAAATGAGTTGTTGTGTTTATTCTCAAAAAATAGCATTAAATCTGAAGCGAATCCCTATACAGAGCTCTGGCAGCTGCTCCTGGGTCCCTGTCTGAGGAGGAAGCCGTCTCTGTGTTCTGCCTTGCTGGATACCAGTGACCAGAGCAAGCTGCAGAGCAGCGGGACAGCTTTCCACCCTCCGCGCTGTGGGCGTTGGGGCTTTCTCCTGTTCTCACCACCATTTTGTGTTTTTGAAGGTCACGTCAATTTTTCTGATGAGGTGACAGCCGGCCTTCGTATTTCAGACGGAGTTGTACTTTTCATTGATGCGGCCGAGGGGGTGAGTGTCAGGTTCTCCTGGGGGTTAACTTCAACATCTCTTACGCTGGGGTCTTTGATCCCACCTCAGCATGAAGGCCTGGGATGGGTTCAGCTTTTGGGGTGAAGGATTTCTGGAGGACAGTTTGGGAAGCGAGAGTGTTTTCCAGCCAAAACAGGGAGTCAAGCCTCTGGCTTCTGTATCCCCGGCTGACGTGATGCGTGTGACCCGTAGGCTGAATATCTAACTTGTTTGCATCTCCATCCCCATAAAAATTGAGCAGGTTATTTATATCAGAGATGTCCAGGGGGTAGGATTCAAGGAATTCGGTTGGGTTAGCACCTAAATTGCAGGAAGATTAGCTGATTGCTGCTGGCTGAGCTTCGGCTTTTTCTGCAGAGATGCAACCCTATGCGTAAGGGTCGCTGCTTTCTGTCATGCCCTAGATAGATAAGTTTTGTGGAGGGTTTTCGCTAGGGGTGTTTGTGCTCACTATTCCCCGCAGGTGATGCTGAACACAGAGAGGCTGATCAAGCACGCGGTGCAGGAAAGGCTCGCAGTGACTGTGTGCATCAACAAGATAGACCGACTGATCCTGGAGCTGAAATTGCCCCCTACAGACGCGTATTACAAACTCAGACATATCGTAGATGAAGTTAATGGGCTGATCAGGTAAGGGATGGTGCGTCGTCGATGCTCGCTGTCCCTGTTCTATTGCAGGTGCTTTTCTCTGCGAGCCCTGCGAATGCCTAAAAACTCATGAGTTTGTCTCTTGATAAGTTGAATCTTAGCAAACGGACAAGGAAGAACCATTAGAAATTCATCTCAGCCAATATATTGAGTTATACAGGAGGGGCCAATCCTGCCTGAATTCTGACAAGCTTCATGGGATCAGCTCCTTTTCCCCCATTAAGAAGTAGGTTTTTTTTAGTGGATACATGACCGGAGCGGGGAACTTCTGTGCTCGCAAATGTCTCAAATACACCAAGATTGTCCAAGCTGTATCCCAAATTGTAGGCTGAGATGTCTCAAAGCTCGTAAACTTTTGTTACAAAACTAATAGGAACTTGCTGTCCCAACCCCTAAACAGAGTCTAGGATACTGCTATGGTCAAATCTCCTTGCAAGACCCTGCCCAGAGAAGGGGGGGACATCTTCTCTAGCCCTCGCAGTAGCACTGCATCATTTCTGTGGGTTCTCCTGCATCCAGGTGATTTTCTTCACAGCACTCTTCCCTTCAGTTTGTGTCTGCACTGCAGCCTGTATAACCCCAAACTGAATTTGCACAGGAGCTCACTTATATGTGTCTCTGTTCAGTTGCTACTGGCATCAGGCAGCTCGGAGCAGGATAATTTATCCTGTCTAGCATGCTTGTGAACTCATTAAAACTCTTTTGATTCAATTCTATCCCTATGTTATTTGCCTTGTATTATCTGCTCCCTTACTTGGTCGACCAGCTTTGCTGCCTTTTTTTAGGGGAAGAAAAACTCTACCTGACAAACAATACAAAGCACTTGTGCTGGTAACTTTTTGGGTCTAGATCTTTAAAGACTTCTTTGCACACTGATGCTGTGAAGTTTGCAGTAATAAATTGATACTAACCCTGAAATTCTGATGGCAAGCATGCTGCAGCCGGTTTTAAGTTGCTATTTGGCAATGCAGAATCCTTGCCTATCAAATACTGCTGTTTGGTGTGGGAAGTGGATTGAAGTGTCTTCCTTGGTTCGTAACACTGATTTTTTATTTTTTTTTCTTGTCTCTGTCTCCTGTCAGCATGTATTCCACTGATGAGAACCTCGTTCTGTCTCCCCTTCTGGGGAACGTGTGTTTCTCCAGTTCACAGTACAGCATCTGCTTCACGCTGGGATCTTTTGCAAAGATTTATGCAGACACATATGGTGAGGACTATCCAGAAACCTTGTGCGCTTTAACATCTCATTTCCTAACCTATTTTGTTGAGGCTTTCTAAGCCATTCAGCTTCAGCTTTCACTGCACGTATACGGCCAGTATATGCGCTCTTGAATTTCTGGGAGTTGAGAGGTACTGCCGATCTGAGCCCTGGGTGTTAAAAAGCAAAAATACAGTTCTAACTTGTTTTTAGCTAGATAGTTTCTCCTGGTAAATGTTTCTTGAATCAGAAGCCAATGTTTTATATATACTCTTAAGCAGAAAAAGTGAGTCCCGCTATGACAGTGGAAGGCAAGCATGTGTGTTGTGCTTTGCTTCCTTATCGGAACAGCTCAGAAGCAAAGCAGTTAAGTTCTGCCTGCCTTTTCACAAAAGTCTCCAGAGCCTGAGACTCAGCTGCAGCCGGGTACAAGCTTGGCTCACAAGGTTTTGCACTCTTGCCCTCTTTCTTTTTTAAGAAACTGTCTTTTTCTGGCTTTGATTTAATTTTCTGTTCCCCCGGTGCCCGCTCAAGGCAATCTGCCACTTGTAAAAGTGGGCCTTTTGCTTGCATTAGCCAGCTGTACGGCCAAGGTTTTTGAAGTCTCACGCTGGGGAATTGGGGGTGATCTGTAGGAGCCGTGAGCAGGGGAGGAAAGATGTTGTAAAGCAGCTGGCCTAGCTCTTGCAAAGAAGTTAGCCTGAGGGAGGATGAAGTTGTAGAGGTCAGGGACTGATGTGTCAGGACTATCGTGTGTCCTCGTGAGTTTGGAGAAATAAATGAGCTCCCTGGGCGTCATGGCGTTAACTCAGTGCCTGCTAGGATGATACCCCTTCCTTGGGGGACTGATAAAGATGCAGAACAGTCGGTAGGAGATGCTATCGGCATGGGGCAGACGTGAGCTGAACGGGTACTTGAAGTCAGTAATATTCGATTGTGGCCACCAGGGATTTTATGTGCAGCCACCACACTTCAAATAACATGAGTTATAGTAGTTTAACTGTCAAAACCGCAGCCACTGTGAAATTTCTTATGCTTGCACATCTGCCCACAGCAAAAGCTTGTTTGGAAACTGCTGTAAATTATCACCGCTGTCTTATTATTTGTAAATCTACCATGACAGCCAAGCACTACAGTATTCCTTCAGCACTTGGGTATTTGGCTAGGCGCTTAGTGCATCAGCTGAAAAAGAGAAAAGAACCTGGAGATGTTCAGCAAGGCAGAAAATGCTTGCGATAAGCCTGCGGGGCAGATGGGGTGTAAGCCATCCCGGCACCTTTGCATTACAGCGTCAGGTTGCGGCGTTAACATTGGGAAAACGAAGCAGATGTAACTGGGTTCCTGCAGCGTGGCGTCTGGCAGCACAGCTCTTCTCGGCGTTAACCTTGTGTGTAATTGAGAGAGTTGAAATGTTCCTGAGAAGCAAGCGTGCGAGCCTGTGGTGTTCCTGGGCTGCTGCTGTTGTCCTAAGTGGACTATTTTCTGCTCATCTCTCTGCCTGGTCTCCCCAGCTCAGGGCCTAATCTGGCATTGGTCCGTTAAATCAAATCCTCAGGGTTGTTTTAAAAGCCCAAACTCAAAGATTTTGAAGATGAGAGAAATACAGTGTCATCTGAGAGACTTTTGCCATTTGCTTTTTCCCTTTAGGAGACATCAATTATCAGGAGTTTGCAAAGCGGCTTTGGGGTGACATCTACTTCAACCCGAAGACGTAAGAAGCCTGTTTAAATGTCTGTTAGTTTATTGCAGGGTTTTCCCCTCCTTTCCCTGTAAAATGTGAACTGGATGACCATCCAGGGTCCCTTCCAACCTAAGCTGTCCTATGATCCTGTGCTGGAGCAGTATCTGGGGAGGGCTGAGTCAGGCCTCCGGCTTGGTGTGAATCCATGTGTTCCTCCTGAATCCCATAATCGGGAGCAGAGAGGCTCCTCTGGCCTTTGTTTGGAGTAAGCGTGACTCCTGTGTCTCTGACAGCTTCCCAGGAGGACTGGGAGGGGGAGGAGGATAACCTGGGAAGAGCAGAGGCTGTGCTGCAGTAGGGGTGCTTGCAGGCTGCAGAGCGCTTGGTCCTCATGTCTCTCTGTTCTCCCAACAGTCGCAAATTCACTAAAAAGGCCCCGACGAGCAGTTCCCAGCGCAGTTTTGTGGAGTTCATTCTGGAGCCCCTGTACAAGATCTTGGCTCAGGTATGTGGCGGTTCATTCTCCCTCCCATAGTTCCAGATAGGAGCTGCCAAGGGCTGAACACCGCGTGGTGGTGTGGCTGGTGCCCGTGGGACTCGCCTGCCCTGTTACGCAGCGTGATTTTCAGAGATTTCTGGGTTTCGGGGTGCAGGGCGATGATGAGCAAACTCCTTAACAGTTGCTCACTGCAAACAGAACCCTGTATGTGTGCAGAACTGCCTTTGCTCTTTCCAGTGTGCTCCGATATCTGCCAAGTGATAACTTGAAGCAGCCAAACAGTCCTGTGAGCTCTAACTCTGAGCAGGTCAAGAGCCCCAAGGGTGAGGGCTGACGTGTGAAGCTGCACCCGGGAGTTACTGCTTGGACCCTCACAGCAAAGCTGAGTGCTGCTTGTTGTCTTGCAGGTGGTGGGGGATGTGGACACAACCCTGCCGAGGACTCTGGATGAACTTGGCATTCACTTGACCAAAGAGGAATTGAAATTGAACATTCGACCCCTCCTGCGGCTTGTCTGCAAGAAGTTCTTCGGGGAATTCACAGGTAAATGCTGTATGTCTTCCCCTCCGCAATCTTCCCAATAGCCTAGTCTGACATCAGCAGAGGTAAGGGCTTATTACAGCTGTGGGGTGCTCGCTTGCACGGATCCCTTCTCAGCCTCCCAAATGTAAAATATTAAACTATTTGCCCAAAGGACAGCTTGAGACGCTGCTCATGTCTTTCCTGTTGCTGTGGGTGCGCTGCAGTCAGAATGGCTTTGCCTCGTGTTTATTGGCGTCCTTTTCTTTCCTCTGCATTGTTTAATCCTGTTCTTTCCAGGCTTTGTGGACATGTGTGTGCAGCATATCCCCTCCCCGAAGGTGGGAGCCAAGACGAAAATCGAACATACCTACACTGGTGGTGTCGACTCTGATCTGGGGGAGGCCATGAGTGAATGCGACCCTGACGTAAGGAAACTCTTCTATTTTGCTCTGAGTGTCCAAAAGCGTGGCAAATGTGCCCTCCTTCCTCTGCCTTGACAGGGCAGCTGCCTCCTAGGCAGCCATCTGCACAGATTTGACTTCCAGCATTTTGAAACCTCTCATCCGATACCGAAACAAATCTCTTCGCTCTGAGAAACTTTAGCTGCCTGCTAGGGCAGCCCTTGAGAGAGAGAATTGTTTGACAGTGTTCAGAGAAGAACAGGACTAGGTCAGGACTTCAGAGCACGTGGGAACCGCAGGGTGATTTTTGTGTCCTTTTGCAGCCTTTTTGTCCCTTTTCCTTGAAGTTTGATTTTTCTCTCCAAACTCTGAGAAAACTGTTCTGAACTCTACTGTTAAAAATAACCCTACATTAGTTAGTCAGCACCTTTCATATCAAAGCCTTGCAAAAACCTTCCTCCTCAAACAGCTTGTACTGAGCTGTCATTCAGAGTTGTCTGGAGCCACCAACGCCAGCTAGTGAGGAATTTGCCTGTGACTTTTGCTCTAATGTCTGAAGAGAAAACGAGTCGCTTATTTTAACGAGTTGCTATTAGCCACGTAAAACTATACAGTGGTGACTGTCACCAGATTACCAGTTGTGGAGTGACCGTATGGGACTGTGAGCTGTGATCTGTGGAGGCTTGGGTGCGCTGCCCTGAGCTGGTTTGCGGGCCAGCAGATGACATTTCTTCTCACGGCCTTGTCCCAACCACTATTTACTGCTGCACAAGAGGAGGGAGGAGAGCTCCAGAAAAGTCCACCAAAGTCTTTCCAGGGGTCTCCATACAGGGCAAGGAGATGCAAGGCTTCCAGTGGAGGGAAATGAAGGGTTTGGCAAGTCAAAAGAAGTATTTCTAAATTCCAGCCCATCTATCCCTTTGTGTCCATGAGTCCTACCAGGTCTGTGTCTTGTTTCTTGACTGTATTTTGAAAGAGGCTTATTTCAATATCTCTGTTTCTCTCTCTCTCTCTCTCCTGGAAAGGGTCCGCTGATGTGTCACACAACGAAAATGTACAGCACGGACGATGGCGTTCAGTTCCACGCCTTTGGCAGAGTGCTCAGTGGTACCATCCATGCTGGGCAGCCTGTGAAGGTCCTTGGAGAAAACTATACCCTGGAAGATGAGGAAGATTCCCAGATCTGCACCGTTGGACGCCTCTGGATCTCGGTGGCAAGGTATGGAAAGCTCTGGCGATGCGTTCGTGTGGGAGAGGAGTCACCTGGAGCTGCCAGGGACAGGGAGGACAGCGGTGTCAGGGGCCTGAGCGCTGCAGCGATGCTCCCCTGCCTTTTAGGTATCACATTGAGGTAAACCGGGTTCCTGCCGGCAACTGGGTGCTGATAGAAGGAGTGGACCAGCCCATAGTGAAGACTGCAACCGTCACGGAACCTCGGGGCAATGAGGAGGTATTGTGCAGAGCCGATATCGCTCAGCCTTACAGAGAGTTAAGGGGATGGAGCACATCCCAAAAGCTCCAGCGGTGAGGTTAAAGGAACCTTTTCTGCTGAGGTGCAGGGTGCGAGGGCCACTGAGGGAAACGACAGCTTCAAAAGCCGTGTCTCTAACGATGCAGAGGTTCAACTCTTTGTCCTTATCTGGTTTCAGGCTCAGATCTTCCGTCCTTTGAAGTTCAACACCACGTCTGTCATCAAAATAGCTGTGGAGCCGGTCAACCCCTCGGAGCTCCCCAAAATGTTAGATGGTCTCCGCAAAGTCAACAAGAGTTACCCCTCACTTACTACTAAGGTATTTCTTGTGTATGTTTGGCTGTTTCCAGCTCATGCTGCGGGCAAACTCGTAATTTTTTACTGTAGGTTGTTTTGTTTGTTGTGGTTTTTTTTCACGCTGTTGCAGTTGATCTCAAAATCATGTGGAAATAGCAGAAAACTGTAAATCCAGTAGAAAAACACACACCTTGCTGTGCCGGGGAAGCAGTTTTCTGCAGAGCACAGCAACACCTTCTGCTAGAAAAGGCTGTGGGAGCTTTCCTTGGGGTGCTCTGATCCTAACCAATTTATTTAAAGCTGATACATCCTCAGGCTTGTGTAGGAGCCTGGAAGGCAGGGAATGGCCTGCAAGCGGTAACGCTGCCAGTTGAACCCTCATCTTATTTTTCAGGTGGAAGAGTCTGGGGAGCATGTGATCCTGGGGACGGGGGAGCTCTACCTGGATTGTGTGATGCACGACCTACGGAAGATGTATTCGGAGATTGATATCAAGGTGAGGGAATGAGAGGGATTTTCCCAGCTGGGGAAGGGGTTTTGTGCCCCCATCTCAGAAGAATGGGGAAATCTAGCTGAATCTATAGCGTGGATTTTGTCCGGTCCTTTTAAAAGGGACGGGGGGGAAAGGGCTGTTAGGATGCAAAAGTAACTCACAGCCTGACTGTGTCACACCATTGTGATTGAGAGCCTGAAAATTGGCTGGAGAGACCATGTCCCAGCCTTTTCCTGTACTTTAGCCTTTGCCTGGCTAGCGTCAAATAAATTGAGCAGAATTTTTCATACCTGGAATGAGGTTTAAGTGTTCCTGTCTTGTTTGAATGAAGGAATTAGTAACACTGCCTGTGCAGGCCTCAGTGGTTCCTACGCAAGGCTGATTAAAACACCGAGGTTCAAAGGTTTCAAACAGTGTCTTTAAAAACCAGAAAAAGTACTTGAAAGCCTTAGAAACCTGTTGTCGTTATCCCAGGTCGCCGATCCAGTTGTGACATTCTGCGAGACAGTGGTGGAAACGTCCTCCCTGAAGTGCTTTGCCGAGACACCCAACAAGAAGTAAGAGCCCGTGGGCGAGCGGGGCGTTGGAGACGGGCAGATGGAGGGGTTCACTGGAGACCAGGCTTCATGCCCTCCAAGGGGTCTGTTCTCAGGGGCTGTTATCCAGACGAGTGGCGCGTGCCCGAGTCAGCAGCCTGCCGTTGCAGCAGCTCTGTGGAACTCCTCCGTAACACACTTGAGTCCCAGGGATGTTTCTGTGCTTTGTAGGAACTCTCAGAATGGCGGGAGTAAAGACAGATCCATATCCTCCTTTCTTTTAGCTAAATTTCACACCTTCTCGGTAGTTGTGAGGCGTTCCCCAGACTGGGAGACGTATTGGGATCCTGGAGCAGGTGCCGAAGAGCCTGGTGCTGCCTTCAGTAACCCCCCCAAACATTTCATGAGTGAAAGCTTTGTCTTCTCTTCCCCATCCTTAATGTTGAAATGGATTTTTTCCTTTCTGACGATGCACTGGAGCCTTACAGCCTGGTCTCATCTTCCTCCCCCAGGCAATGCATTACGAGATGCACGTTTGAAAGAGGGAGGGCTGTGGGGGAACACAGGCTGAATAACCAGGATGAAGTCTAGGAGCATGGGGCATATTAATGCTTGAATTTTCAGAGAAATCATGATCTGTCATGTGCTGAAGAGAGTTTTCCTGTGTTACCTTGTGGTTTCTGGTTCTTCTTACCCTCCTTCATTCTGGTATACTCTCTCTGTGGGTGGCAGCCTTATTTTTGGGAACGGAAAGGTTCCGGCCTTAGGTCAGTCTTTGTACTGTTGGGCATGTGGAGCGACCTGCTCTGGAGGCATGTTACTCGTGTTGGTGAGGTTCTCCAAGGCAACATCCCACGTGTCGGACACAGTGAGCGCTGGCTCTGATAGAGGCATATTGCCTGGCCTGTGGGCTTCCTTCTGCAGCCCAGGTGAGCGCTGGACATCTGGCAGGAGGGATGGAGCGTCCTGTCCCTTAGCAATCTGCTTCTGGAGATGAGCAGACTTTAGAGAGCAGTTGTTAAGCGCATGGGCTGTCTTTACAAGCAAGACGGTAACAGTGAAGGACACGGATGGCTTCATCTCCCTAGCTGTGTTCGAGGCAGTGCACGGTCCCTGAGGTCCTGCCAATTACTCCCATTTCCGTCATTCCACGGACTAATTGCAACTGTCTCTCCTCTCAGGAACAAGATCACTATGATTGCTGAGCCTCTGGAGAAGGGACTTGCGGAGGACATTGAAAACGAAGTGGTCCAGATAACGTGGAACAGGTATGAGCGATCTGGGGAGAGCAGGAATCCATTTAGAATCAAATAATTGGGGGAAGAAGGGAATACTGAGATCTGCAGGGTGCACAGTGTCAGCCTGCAGCCTGTAGGCAGGATCCTGGGTCCGGTATTGCTACCAAGTAGTCCCGGCAAATGAGTTGCTCCAGGTGAAAAGCTGAAGCCATTTTATACCTGAAGGGAACAGGGTTGTAAATATGTTGAGTGCAGATCAGATACTTGTTTCCTAAAGTTTCTTCTCTTCTTCTTCTATCAGAAAGAAGCTGGGTGAATTCTTCCAGACCAAATATGACTGGGATTTGCTGGCTGCCCGTTCCATCTGGGCCTTTGGGCCAGACGCCACAGGCCCAAACATCCTAGTAGACGATACGCTGCCCTCGGAGGTGAGAAACACAGGCAGGGGGTTGTGTTTCGGTGAGACGTTTGTCCTGTGGTGCCAAGAGCTAACTGCTCCTTCCAGAACCTCCAGCAAGGTCCTAATGCTGTTGGAGTGTGTGGCGGTTTGCCAGATCTCAGCTCTGCTGTGCTTCCGCCATGCTCCTATGCTGGCTAGCAAATAGTCTGTTATTTTTCAGGTGTTGCTGTTTGGGCCAATGTCCTCAAAACTGGCAACTAAATGTCCTGCCTTTCAGGATTACCAAAATACGGACTCTTAATTTCTAGCTCTAGATGCCAAGCTCTGAAGGTGATGATGCTGAGCTGTGAGAGGGAGGGTTGGATGCTGGGGATACAGGGGAACATTGCTGCTCCTTTGGGAACTGGTTTTTAAACAGTGGGGTCTGTCTGTTGCTGCCTTGTGGTGCAGATTTGGTCTCTGAAGCAGTCTGTCTGTCTGTCCGTAGGTGGACAAGTCACTGCTGGGCTCTGTGAAGGACAGCATTGTGCAGGGATTTCAGTGGGGGACCAGGGAAGGGCCTCTCTGTGACGAACGTAAGTAGGACCTGTGGAGAAGTGGGGCTAATAACATCGGTTAAATTATTTCATCTGTAAATACTGTGGTGGGTTGACCCTGGCTGAGGG